CTTATGCTCCAATAAATCTGTTAGTCTACAAAGTGCTACAGGACTTCTCACTGTTTATGCAGATTCAGACTAACGCGGCTACCCCCCTGATAGCTGACATACTTAGGATGCTCATTTAAAAAAAAAAAAAAAAAAAAAAACCACCACCACAACAATGCATTAAATTTATAAATGAACTCCATAGGGGGAAACTTTATATCTGCTGCTCTGCATTACCCTCATTCTGTCATATATTTCATGTTATAACAGTCTTGCATGGTGACTCAGCTCATGTTCATTTTAAGAACATTTTCACAGCAGATTTGACAAAATGCAAAGAGGATACTAATGTGAGATTTCTAAAAATAGCAACAGGACTCCACCCAAGGTTTAAAAATCTGAAGTGCCTGCCAAAATCTGAGGGGGATGAGGTGTGGAGTTTGCTTTAAGAAGTCTTAAAACAGTAACACTCTGCTAAAGATGGTATAGAACATGAACCACCAAAGAAGAAAATCAATCTGCTGGTGGCATCTGACTCAGACAATCAATGTGCATCAGACCTCACTGATTTGGATCATTATTAATCAGAACCCATTCTCAGTGAGGAAGCATGTCCTCTAGAATAGTGGCTAAAGCATGAAGAGACTCATGAATCTTTAGTGCATCTAGCACAAATATATCTTTCAATGCCAACTACAACAGTATCACAAGGACACCTGTTCTCACTTTCATGAGACATTTTAATCAAGAAGGTGGAAGCATCATCTCCTGCAAATTGTAATCAACCTTTTTTGTCTGAATGATTGGCTGAAGAAAAAGTAGGTCTGAGTAGACTTATAAGCTCCAGAGTTTTAGACAGTTTTATTTTTGAATGCAGTTATTTTTTGTATGTAATTCTGCATTTGCAAGTTCAATCTTCATTATAAAGAAATTAGACTGCAAACTTATATCAGGTGAGCTGAAAAATACATTTTTTACGGTGCTAATATTCATAATCAAAAAGTAGAGTGAGCATTGTTTAATTGAAATCAATAGATCTGTGTGGGAAAGGATGTGAAGAGCCTTACATTCTTGAGTGAAATGTGGTGTAAAATATTCCAGTTCTTCATAATAGGTGGAGTAGTTGGTTGGCCTCATTGATGTGATCATCATGGTTGAGAACTGCAATGGTATTATATTTGTCTGCTGGTTTGATTGTGACCCACTAACCCCAGGTTTTTTTGGTAACAGCCTATATCATCTTGAAAGGTCTCTAAGAATGTGTGTTGTTTAGCATAGTTATCTGTGACATTGTAAGTACCTTTCCCTGATCTGAGGAAAAGCTCAAGAGAAAAACAGAAGTCTATATATTTACCAAACAGAAGTTCGTCCAGTAAGAAATATTACCTCACTCACTTTGTGTGTCTAGTATCACAGGAGCAACCAGCTACAAAAACTGCAATTCCAGCCCTAAGACTACTATTGTATAAACCAGAATTTCGACATGGGAGGTTCAGAGTTTGACATACTAAGTGCATATTAAATGCAATAGTGTTTTACAAATCTGAAAATGCCAGCTTCCAGCATTCAGGGGTTAAATATATATATATATCACGTTCCCTATTCCACAAACTGGAAAGAGAATGACAGATGAAATTGTAGCTGCGTGTGAAAGATGGCTGTGCCCAAAAGGCTGCCAAATATTATGCAAGACTGGGAATGGGAAACCTTAACGAAAACCACAACAACATTGTGCACTATTTTTATGTATCTGACTCAAAAGACAAGCAGGTTTACAAAAGGATTCCATGGAGGCAGACAGAATAAATGCCTCAAAAAGACAGGCAGATTTATACATTGAAAATTATATTTCTCCTACAGTACAGGAGAGTAACACCAAACAGCATGAAATGATTATATAACGACAGAATAAATGCCTCAAAAAGAAAGGCAGATTTATACATTGAAAATTATATATTTCTCCTGCAGTACAGGAGAGTAACCAAACAGCATGAAATTATTATATAAACCTAACAATGTTGCCTGCAGTGATAAAAATATGAAAAATGTTTTATAATGGTGCTTTAACCAGTATGAGAATAAAAAAAATAGAACAGCTCCCCTTTTGCTCTGCAACCAACAGCATCACATGTCTAATGTTTCATGCACAAAACACACCAATAACCTGCTCCGAGGATTAAATCATATGCATGAAAAGCATTGGAACATACGGCACAGATCACCAATGGTGTCAAACCACCCATTGTGTACATTCCATTGCAGCTGACCTTTGTGTGCTGTTTCAGTACTGCACATACATCGCGTAAGAAAGGCCAAATATGTGGATTATGTCGCTCGGTCTGTGAACACTCCCATTTTATCCCACGTATTACAAGTTTAACACATACTATTTTGTTTTCCTTTTCAACCTGCATAAATAAGTTCTACCAATGGTCAAATTATTTTAGAACCGCAGTTCTCAAACGGTGGGTCGGGACCTTAAAGTGGATCATGTCTCCCTTTAATGGGGTCATCGGGACTGACTTAGACTTACTGGGGCCCAAGGCTGAAGCCTGAGCCCACAGCCTAGGGCAAAGCCAAAGCTTGAGGATTTCAGCCTTGGGCATCAGGAATCAGACTGTAGGTCCCTGCCTGGGGCTGAAAGTCCTTGAGCTTCAGCTTTGGCCCCTTTGCCTAGAGTGGTGGGGCACAGGTTTGCCCCCACTCTCCCACCCGGGGCAGTGGATCTTGAGTGGACTCAGGCTTCAGTCCCCCCCTCCTGGGGCTATAAAGTAATTTTTAGGTCAGAAGGGGGTTGCAGTGCAATGACATTTGAGAAACCCAATTTTAAAAGAATGGTGATTTCTATTTGAGACTTATCAACCAGGCTATTCTGTAGACATCTTCCAAAAGAATTTCAACCCCCCTTTCCCCTCCCCTACACCCAATATTATTAAAAGAGATTCCCAAGCCTGCACCATCCTTTGTGGGTGATAATCTGAGGAACTGTCCTGGATTGAAATGTCATTATGGGAGGTTTTGGAACAAATAGCAAAACTTAACAGTAACAAATCACTGGGACCGGATGGCATTCACCCAAGGGTTCTGAAAAAACTCAAATGTGAAATTGTGGAACTATTAACTGTGGTTTGTAACCTAGTCTTTCAATCTGCTTCAGTACCCAAGGACTGGAAGACAGCTAACATAATGCCAATATTTAAAAAGGGCTCTAGAGGCAGCCCTGGCAATTATACATGGGTAAGTCTAACGTCAATACCGGACAAATCAGTTCAAACGATAGTAAAGAATAAAATTGTCAGACACGTAGAAGAACATAATTTGTTGGGCAAAAGTCAACATGGTTTCTGTAAAGGGAAATCATGTTTTACTAATCTATTAGAGTTCTTTGAAGGGGTTACCAAACATGCAGACAAGAGGGATCCAGTAGATATAGTATACTTAGATTTCCAGAAAGCCTTTGACAAGGTCCTTCACCAAAGGCTCTTGTGTAAATTAGGTTGTCATGGGATAAGAGAGAAGATCCTTTCATGGATTGAGAACTGGTTAAAGGACAGGAAACAAAGGGTAGAAATAAATGGTAAATTTTCAGAATGGAGAGGGGTAACTAGTGGTGTTCCCCAAGAATCAGTCCAAGACCAATCCCATTCAACTTATTCATAAACAATCTAGAGAAAGGGGTAAGTAGTGATGTGGCAAAGTTTGCGGATGGTACTAAACTGCTCAAGATTGTCAAGACCAAAGCAGACTGTGAAGAACTTCAAAAAGATCTCAAACTGAATGATTGGGCAACATAATGACAAATGAAATTTAAAGTGTAAAGCAATGCACATTGGAAAAGATAACCCCAACTATACATACAAAATGATGGGGGCTAATTTAGCTACAACTAATCAGGAAAGAGATCTTGGGAGTTATCGTGGATAGTTCTCTGAAAACGTCCATGCAGTGTGCAGCGGCAGTCAAAAAAGCAAATAGGATGCTAGGAATTATTTTAAAAATGAAAAGGATAGAAAAGAAGATGAAGAATATCTTACTGCCCCTATATAAAACTATAGTACACCCACATCTTGAATACTGTGTACAGATGTGGTCTCCTCACCTCAAAAAAGATTTTTGGCATGAGAAAAGGTTCAAAAAAGGGCAACTAAAATGATTAGGGGTTTGGAACGGGTCCCATATGCGGAGAGGCTAAAGAGACTCAGATTTTTCAGTTTAGAAAAAGAGGAGACGGGGGGGGATATGATAGAGGTATATAAAATCATGAGTGGTGTGGAGAGGGCCAATAAAGAAAAGTTATTTACTTGTTCCCATACTATAAGAACTTGAGGACACCAAATGAAATTAATGGGTAGCAGGTTTAAAACTAATAAAAGAAAGTTCTTCACACTTCCCACAGTCAACCTGTGGAACTCCTTGCCAGAGTTGGCTGTGAAGGCCAGGACTATAACAGAGTTTGAATTTATCTAGCTCTTTTTTTATTCAGGTCAGGTCCATAAAAGGCTATTAGTCAGGGGGTAAGGAATGGTGCCCCGGCCTCTGTTTGTCAAAGGATGGCCGGAGACAAATTGCTTGATCATTGTCTTTGATCCATCCCCTCTGGGGCACCTGGCATTGGCCACTGTCGGCAGACAGGATACTGGGCTTGATGGACCTTTGGTCTGACCCAGTACGGCTGTTCTTATATTGTTATTAAAACAAACTGAACTATTACATCTGAGACTGGCACAATTCGTAATTTTAATTTGCCAAAGAACACTAAATTCATTCCCCCTTCCCAAAAAGGAGGGTTATTTCAATTGATTAATCTTGATATACATATTTCTGCACATGGTACCTACCACACAGAACTAATGTCACATGCAGAGTGTCTTTTCAGTATAGAAAAAACAGAGCATTCAAAATTAAATAGAAATATTGGAACTATAGGCCCAAAAGATCCTAGCAGCAAAAGAACATTTTTAAAAGCGGAAAGCTAAGTCTATTGCTAGGTAAAATGTTAGTTAACAATTTAGAACTATTACCTGATTCACACACTATGGATCCAGGCTTCAATTCCAACATCATGGTTATTAAAGAGATGTCAGTTGAATAAAGAATCTGTGTTCTGTGGGGAAGATTCATAGTCCACAACTCTGGGGTTGGATGAAGAATGAACACCCATCCTCCTTTACTGCAGGTCACCTTTGAGCCATATCTTTTGCCTATGAGATCAGTGGAATGTCTAATGACCCCATACTTAGTCTGAGTTTTACCACCATGTTGGACTTTCACAGGAAACATCGATTCATGGCCCAAAAACACGATAGCTGTGTCTCCATCTTTTATGGTATCTCTGTATTCAACAAAACTCATTGTGATAGTTTTCTAGTTGTCTGGTTATTTTCACCTGAAGGAGAAGAAACAGAAAAAGCATTCTATAATTTTAGATCATGATGGAACTTTATCTTGAATTATGAAAAATATATGTAATGTTCTATATATAAAACATGAAGAAACTATACACAAGACATTGGCTATTAAATGCCAACTCATCTGATGAAGTGGGTTTTACCAACAAAAGCTCATGATATAATATATTTCTTAGTCTCTAAGGTACCACATGAAAGCTCGTTTTTAAACTTAATATAGTTCAGGATACATTTAGGAAGATAGCAAAAGACACTGGACCGAATCCTTATCCCACTAAAATCAATGGAAAAACTCCCATTGACTTCAATGTGACTGGCATTTTCCATTGTACATTGCTAAACTTGTGTAAAACTATAAATGCAAATTATTTCTTCAGCTTGCTCCACATTGTTACAGAGTTAGCTACAAGATAGGATTGGTAGCAATGAACTCCACTGCATAAGTTCTCTGGGACGCATGTTAGGCAGTGACTTCAGCCCCTACTCTGGTCATTCCACCCAGAGCAAGTGCCAGCCTTAGATGTGGGAAAATTTAGCTATTGATACTATAGATAGCAGTTAACAGGAAATTTTAAACTCCTTACGTTTCAAATTCTGGTTCACTAAGGATTCAACAACATAAGCAAACATCAGCCCATGCACAGATTCTGTGACTTTCCCTTGACCTCCATGACTTGTGGGGGCCCACCCCCCCCAGCCAGTGTGGGAGTGGCTCTTCACCCTGCTGCTCAGGCAGCCCCACAGCTAGCTGCACTGATGCTGCTGGAGCAGCCCCAAGACCAGCTGCACTAATCACTGCTCAAGCAGCCCCCTGGACTGCCTGAGGAGCTGTCCCACAGGCACTTGGGGCAGAGGCAGGGGGGCAGCCCTAGAGCCAGCCACATCAGTGCTGCTGGAGCAAACTCTGGGTCAGCCGCTCTGGCCACTGTTTAGGCAGCGATGGGCAGTTCCTCAGCACCTGTACTGGGAGCAGTGAGAGCAGCCACCGTTAGTGCAGGGGTAGGCAATAATTTTTGATGGGAGGCCATTCCAAGAATTTGGTAAGTGGCCAAGGGCCAAACTTTTTCATGATATTAAGTGCAGGGTCGGAATGGAGGTTGGGTGCAGAAAAGAGCTTGGGGTAAGGGATTGGGCTTAGAGATGTAATAGTGTAGTCGATTAACCGAATAACCGATAAGCAAAATCTTACAGCTTAGTGCTATAGACTACACACATTTCCCCCAACCTCCACCAGTAAATTTTTTAGCACGCTGGCCAACAGCTCGGCTCAGTCCTGGCTTGCAACAGGTCTGGGTCCTATCCTCACTACGGCTCTGCATTTAAAAGTGTATTAGGAGCCAGGTGAACAGACAGCCCAGCTCAGCTCAGTTCTGGCCCAGGAGCTCAAACCCACCTCCTCCCGCCCTGGGCAGCAGCACGGGGCAACAGGCAGCCAGTCCATGAGGAAAGTTGGTTTTTAAACGGGCTCTCCTCGCAGACCAGCTCCTAATTGGCACCCCATACTACTGGATCCCAACCCCACCCCTGGGGACTATCAAATCATTGAGTAACCGATAAGAATTCATAAGGTTACTCAACTATTCAATTAACCGATTAAAATCCCTAACTGGGGTGCAAGGAGGAGTGTGGAATCTGGGAGGGACTTTGGGTGAAGGAAGTGATTGTGACCTGGGGCACTGGACTGCAGTTGCAGAGGTTTGGGTAGTGACCTAGAGCAAGGGACTGGGGTACAGGAGTTTGGATTGTCACCTGGGGCAGGGGCTTGAGGTGCAGGGTCTGAGAGAGGATATGGGTGCAGGAAGGGGACAGAGGATTTGGGGAACACATGTACTTGGTGTGGTTCACCCCTATCCCCAAAGCTGCCCATTCTGCAATGTGAGGGAAAACCTGATGCACGCCTACCAAGAATGCACCAAGTTGTAGCCCCTTTTCTGTCTCCTCCGGAATCTCCCGCTGAGGTCCAGGTTGCACTTTTCCCCTCACCTTTTCATTTGTGCACTCCCCATCTGTGCCCCACAAAGTCACGAGACCTCCTCATCAACCTCCTTCTGGCCCTAGCGAAAGCTGCCATCGATAATACCAGGAGGATGCTGGACCAGGGGAGGAGGATGCTCTGCAACTATGGGGCCTATTTCCATTCCTCTCTAGTCTCACGCATCCAGGCAAAGTTCCTCTGGGTGGCGTCCACTGGCTCCCTGGACAGCTTTGAGAAGCAGTGGGCGCTGTCCAAGGTTCTCTGCTTGGTGTTCCCCGATTCCCTCGTTTTAAACCTTTGACCCGCAGCTTTGATCCTATTATTCATTACTTGTCCCCAGTTGAATTCCAGGTCCAATAGTCCCTACCGCAAGGCTGGGGAAGGGCCTTTAGCAGTGGGTGAGTGTGCACCCACCCACTTCCCATGACTCAAATAGTAACAGAGGGTTCGGGTGTGTGGAGTGAGGGGGGCAGAAGTGAGAGGCAGAGAATTGGAGGAGGGCAGGCCCGGGGTGCCAGAGGCAGGCTCTGGCCAGGAGACTTACCTGGGTGACTCCCAGCCAGGAGCCCAGCACATTTCTCAGCCAGCCTGCCCCAGCCCCTTGCAGGACCAGGGGAGGGGGCATGGTGCTTCCTGGCTGCCTGTTATTCAAATAGGCAGCTCCCATTGGCTGGTCTCTGGCCAGAAACCAGCCAGTGGGATTGTGCTAGGAGCAGGGGCAGCACCTGAATCTTTCTCCCCTCCCCTCTGGGCTCACAGTTTTGAAAGAGAAATGGGACAGCAGCCGCTTTTATGTGCGGTGTGGGTGGGATGAGGCAAGTAGGGAGCCTTCCTGGGGCTCCCCGCTGCATCTGCAGGCTGGATCCAGTGGCTTGGCAGGCCTGATTCAGCCCATGGGCCATATTTCACCCAGGCTTGGCTTAGTGGCCTCTGGTGCTGCTAGCCCCTGTGCCTCCCCCCAACCTCCAGCTTCCTGGAACAGCCTCCCCACCTCCAGCCCCCAAAGATATATCAGGGGTATATAGTGCAAGTCATGGTCAGGGATAATGAATCTGTGTTGAGTGCCAGTAACAAATACCCATGACTAAATCGTAGCCTTAATTACAATCCCCCTCCTTGGTCTCTATGCAGAGGAACTGACTCCTGAATGGCGCCCTGGAGGAAGAACTGCTGCATCTGCTTTCTCTTCAGCAACACAATAACTCGGCGGCTAAGAGCCAGGGGCCAATGAGCCAAGCGCAGTTTTGAAACCCCAAGAGCTGCTCCGAGGCCTCCGCAGAGCAAATTATCTTGATTCTCTATTGGCCAGGCTTGGGAGCTGCAGCACAAATAAGTGAAGCGGGGCGATGCAGAAGCAGCATGAGCCAAGTGAAGGGTCCAGCCCCAGCCAGTGACGACACCCTACAAGCTAACACTGGCCGCTCAAGCTCGGGGGGCGGGGAGGGCTGGGTTGGGGGGAAGGGAGGCCTGCAGCTGGGCTCACAGTCTCTCGGCCCCCTCCTCATGGCTCAGGCTCCTTCCCTCCCGCAGGGTGCCCGCCCCTCCGCCTCCCAATGGGGTGCGCGTGGGTAGCACCCACCTTTCCCCGCAGCCGCTGCCGCTGCCTGGGCTTCCCCCTCTCCAGGGACTGGCTACATGCAGGGAACCGCGGACCCAGCTCGGCTCAAACACGTGGTGCTCCAACCAGCGCTTCCTCCTTCCTCCCTGGTCGCAGGCTGCTGACGCTCCTCGCTTCCCTCCCTCCCCTTAACCCGTGCGCCAGGGCCAGCTGACACCTGCCACCCCCCTAACCCCTCCAGGAGCGGAGTCAGCGCGGGCAGCCAGGCCACCATGCAATTCCCTACCCCCTAGCCTCAGGGAGCAGCCAGCGGGCCCCCCTCACTCGCCCCCATTCCCAGCTGGGTGGGGGGATGGATTCCCCCTGGCTAGATTGCCTGCAAAGGACTTTGTAAAGCGTCTCAGCAGCAGCCGTGTCAGTTTGTAACTTTAAAAACCAGTGAGTGGTCCTTTAGCACCTTAGAGACTAACCAAAATATATAGACTCCTTAGCTGTCGTGGGTAAAACCCTCTTCATCTTCACGACAGCTCAGGAGTCTATATATTTTGCTTAGTCTCTAAGATGCCACAGGACTACTGGTTTTTATCTGCAGGAGGGTTTTTGCTGTGAGTCTGTCTCAGCGAGAACTGGTGATAGGCAAGCGGTGTTTATTGTACCAGGGCTGAGGTCAAGCCCTGGCCACCTGTAGGCTTTGCAGTTCATAGGCACAGCATCTCTGGTTGTGTCATGTAAATTATGAAAGAGGAAAAAAATGCTTGAGCTTGGCACTTCTTTGATTATAAATTAAGCACTGATCCTAGGAGTCTCACTAAGGTCAGAACCTGGGCAGACAAGGTGGGGTACTTTCTGCAAGATTCTCCTTCTGCACCAAGAGTCACCCTGCCTGGGGTATAGTCCGAGAACAGACGAGAGTTGGCTGTGTGTTTGGTTCTGACTTACCTGCTCTAGTTCAGCTTGGGGAAGAAGGAACAGCCTCATTCTGGATTCACTGTGAGGGGGTGGTTTAATAGTATGTCCCTGTGCTAAGGAAGGACTTTGCATTGTGTTTCCATGAAACTTTAGAGGACATTGTAAGAAAGGACACTGTGAAATAGTCTGGGTCAAAAATCTATGGGGGATGTTAACAGTTTCTACAAAACTTATTAGTAATAGATATTGTACATTAAATTTTAAAAAATCCACAGGTTTTTGCAGCATTGTTCTAGTGCATGAAAGTGAACCTGCCTAATATGTTTTCATTATTCTTAGACCATGAAATGCCAGGGAACCATGATCCTGCACTAAGCTGTGCAGACGGCTACCTGAGCCGCAGTGACTTGTTCTTTCAATTAATAATGATACATACCTCCTTTGTAAAGTGCTTTTCTATGGAACCTGGTATAAGAGTTAGGGATTATTATTATTTCTAATAATGTGAGCTGTTAATAACAAAGATTTTTGTCTGG